AAAGGTCTTTTTCACACTTGGTCGGTTCGAATCCCAGATGAGGCAAGGCAACTTTTTAAGTCTTTCAATGCAGTGTTACTAACTTTTAAAAATAAAGCAATATCTCCATAGAGCAAATCTATCTTATCTACAATATTTAAGGTACCATTCTTAAAAATTTTTACATTAATTTTCTCTTACCTAATTTTGGGGGCTATTTTTACTATTTAAATATTCTATAATATTATCATGAAGTATTACTTAATATTCGAGTAGTAGTAGTAGAGTAGTATCATGAAATATACTCGAATACTTAAATAATAAAAATTGTCACCAAAATTAAGTACAGAAAACTAACCTGAAGATTACCGATGTATATAGTTGACTATTCACTCGCCGATTTAATGCTGAACGATATTGCCCAACGTATCGCACGATGTTACATTGACAGTCAACTTTGTGTGTTGTCATTAGAACCCAAATTAATTAGTCACTACTGTAAAGTGTCACTAAGTGAATAAAAAGTTTGAATAATATTGTTATGTATTGGGTTCTTCCAAAAGTGCACCAATGATAAGTTCTATATTTTCACTAAATCCCTTTTAGTGTGACCAAATTGGAATAATACATAGTAAATTGTGATTCATTAAATTAATATAACGAATAATAAAATTAATAATATTTACGCACATTATGTAGTTAATGGCTTGATAGCGATAATTATTCACGAAGTTATTTAAGTGCCATGAGACAATAGACCTCTCGATCTTTATCGATATATCTCGGTATATCTTTATCTTGTACTAAAGATAATTGATATCGAGCTACATCTAAAGTAGTGAATCGTTCGCTTTATAGTATTACTATACTATTACAAGATTACTCGTTATTAATTGACCACAAATAATTCCAAACGCTGTGGTTTCTATGCAAGAATTAAAGCATACTAACGGTATAAAATTAAGATTTCAAATCCTATAGCTGTTTTAAAACGTGAATCTAATAATTTTACTCAAAGCATTTGTGACTTAATTTTGCGCACTTGTTATTTTGTTATGGTGCTATAACAAGCCAAGTACCTAGTGAATGAAATGCTTGTGAATATTTTATATATGTGAAGTTTAATCTCTAGTTATGGAGTTTCAAAAAGATTGCCAACAACTTTACCAAATCCTCTTTGAAGTGAAGCACACTTCAAGTGAATAAAAGTTTTGAAAACTCGCACAAATATTCGTAGATTTTTCCTTAGGTTGATCAAATAAGTACCTAAGGGTTGAAGCCCACTTGTCAGCACGCATCAGCAGCGAAAGGAGCCTCCCCGCACGACATAACATTATTTTTTTGTGTGTCAGACACAACTAGCCACCGATTGGCCTTTCTTCTTTACCTTGCACCGATTGCCAAATCTTTTCACCACGATGCATGGCAAATAACGCACGCCATCGATACGATGAGAAGAAGAAGCACTATACTAAACCAGAATCTAAATCCTTATTTGAAACAAGGAAATACAATAGCACAAAAACATGGCAGATGCGGTCTATGACTCAGCTACAAACGAATATCAGGTACATCGTTGACATTCGGTCATTGCCCGTAATGGTTTATATTGTGTGTAAAAATCATCGAGCAGGTATATAACCAGAAATAGAGACGAAATGTTATTTAATTTGTTTGAAAACTATTCTGCCAAATCATTAAGATGACAACTGTGCTCCGATTGGCCAACCCGAATTCGAAACAATTCACTTTAAAACGGCCAGTTTAACTTGAGCTTTGCTATAATGGACGAGGCCCTTACTGGTCTTTATTTCTGGTTATATACTCGATGGTAAAAATTAACCAACATATAAATGCGGAAACAAAAACTATTAATGTAAAATATTTACAAAAAGAACACACCATAAGGCAGAAATTTAAAGAAATCTGGTTTTACATGAAATCGTACGTGATTGCCATATTATCACATAAAACCATTGACTTAAAATTATATGGACGTCGGGTCCGCGCTAAAAAGTGTCCGCACTTGTAAGGCGCTAAAATCATATACAGAGCGCGACACTCCGCTTTAGTCTTCATTTGTTCTACGGACAGCGCGATACTGCGATGACATAACAATTTAAATTTCGAATAGGTTGACTTGGGACATTTTTTTCGTGGTTTTTGTATTAGACCCGTCGTCCATTTATTTGTAAGTCAATGCATAAAACACTGTTTCTGTTAGCGCTAGAGGCGGGCGTTGAATGGACGAACTAGTCGAATCAACTGTTCAATCGACGTTTCTACGGTCTACCGTTCTTTGGTTAACTAGTAGAATTCGTAGACGGTTAAACGGAGAGTCCACGCGTTAATCAACGCTCTGTCGAATTATACATAGAATTACATAGACAAATTATTTGAACTTGAAATTCTGTACGTGTAAGTTGATGTTTGAATATGTGCGATGAAGTAAGATAAGTCTGTTATGCTATTTATTATTGCAACAGTGCATTCAATATACAAAAAGGATGACGGTGTAGTTAATTCGCTAGAGCGAGAGAGAGACGTTGCGCCCGTTGTGACGCAATGCCCTTGAATCTATCGGAATTAAACTCTATTGCAGTATGTTAAAAGCGTCGATAGCCGCGCTCATGTTAAACATTGGAAATGAATTAATTTCCAAAACTATAGTTCATATTCTCAAAAGCTACTTTAGTTGATTCAGTTAAACTAGTCTTACGAACGAAAGTCAACTTAAGTTGAATGATCGACTAGTCGACAAATTTAACTAGTTGACCGACTAGTTGATCGTCGACGATGGACGGTTGCGTTTCGTTAACGGAAAACGCGTCGACGACCCATCTCTAGTTAGCGCAATGTTGAAGTTTGCTAACAAGGGGGGCCTTTATACTAATAATTGTAATCCGCAAGACATAAACAAGCCTGTCATTTCATGAGGCTTAGCATTTAAGATTGCTGTCTCTCCCTACTCTTCTTTCGTATAATCTTATCCTGCACTGTCAGCTAACATGTAGGACAATGAATATTACGCTTTACTTAAACTGTAAGGAGAAACTTCGTGATTATTAAGTACAATTTAAAAATAGATTGAATAACACCATTTGTGACTTTATCGGTAGACATTTCTAATTTCAACCCAAATTATAGCTTAAGATTCCCTTTAAAACTTTAGAGTTATAAATATATAATACGCTTGTAAAAATTGTTAATTTTGTTGATAATTGTTTGTACAGTCAGCTACGAAATTCATTACTGTTTACCTAACTCGATACCTCCAATTAAATACTACGCCAACTTAATTTTTGGACCTGTTCTGTTTCTATTTTGTTCTTATTTCTTTTTTTTTCACAAAATTCGATTTTTTGTTTATTTTTCGTATTTTGTTTTTTGTTCCTTTATTTTATTTTTCACAAAATTCGGGGAGCATGATGTTGGTAAATAAATATGGCTGTTTACTAAAACAACATAATATGATCAAAAATTAAAGGTGGTGTAGTGTTCATTGGAGGTATTGAATTGACAAATTTGTAAGGAGTGTTGAAGTACATCATTTCGACATTTAAGGGTAAGTCGATTTTTCTTGTGTTAAGAGATCGTCACGATATAATCTCTCTAGTGACATAACAAATCAACAGTGAAATGATAATTACAAAAAAAACTTGCAGCAATAAAGCAATTGACTGTACGTTAGATAGCTAAGAGCGTTGAAATTAATATTTAATATATAACAGATATTATTTAGCTTTGAAAGCAACTTTTCGTTAAGGGCACAGCTCCTATTAGACAATTTAAATGAATTTCAATTATTTTTATAATAAAAAGATCCAATGAAATTTACGAGTTTCCTTTAAGACCCCTACAATCCCACTTTGAATAGAATCGAGCAGGATAGCAAAATAATATATTATATACGTGTATGTATAGTCTTTATTCGTTATGTAATATCGCACTGCTATTATAAAGGTGTTGTATGTAACTCAAAATATGTGAAATTCGAGATTATACTAATGCTGAACGTAAAATTTGATTCTCTACACGTCAATAACAGCGTCATTAGAATATTGTAAGAAACAATTAAAAGATATCTACTTAACTCAAAATAAGACAAAACTTTTTGTAAATCTTTACGCAAATATCAGTATATTTGTCGAGTAGAAAATTCTTTAGATATCTGTAATAAATTTTAACCGTGTAGGTTTAAATATAAATTATATAAATTTAAACATAAATTTTGATAATCTTTCACGGAAAATGAGCAATTCGTTTTTCATCGATTCTGAAAAAATACATATTTTGAGTTAGTACACTATTGTATTAACAGTGCGATAAAATAATAATGTGCCAGACAACTACAACAATAGTCTGCAGCTTAATTTCGATTGCCTCTCCCGATCGTAAACTGCGTCTTTTCCGAGTCGAGGCGTATAATTGCGTAAAAATAACAACTGGCCGATCGGAAACATTTGACATTTCTAATTGGAACAATAGTCGATTTAGCTCACAAATTAGAAAGATATAGTAGGAATCAGGTTCATCTTCTCGCCCAGAAACCTATCTGATTTCGAGACTACCCGATCTGATATATTCTGATTTGAATCAAAATCAGGATGCCAGTCTCAATGAGTCCCGGAACAACGGAGTTCACTCCAGGGCACTACTCAGAACACACCAATTCAGAAAAGTTTATTTCCAAACTAGTCCTACCGGGAATCGAACCCGGGTTCTCCTCGCTCAGCACTCATAAGTTTAAGTCGTACTACTATTTCTGTAGATTAAAGTGTTTTGCTGTTTAGGCCGTTGATCTAGGCTGACATACTTCACACCGGCTTCAACAGTATCTTCAGAAACTTCCTTGCTGTTCAGTAAAACAATGGAAAAATTATGGCAACATTCCGTCTGAAGTTCGCAGCCTAAGTTACCGGTTTTTGAGATGTGTCAGTGTTAGAGTTAGATTGTTGAAATTTTTTGTAGAAGTACAACAAGCACCATTTAGAAATTATTTAAAAACCACACAGAACTGTAACAATCAACTTTAATTAAAAAATAAGTATTTTACATACAGAATTTGTATTATTTAAAATTAAATCATAATCTAGTCTAATACCTTTTAAATTATTTCAGTATCCTTTGTGACCTCGGAATCTTCTTCTTGTGTCGAGCTATAAAATAATTAAATTATGTTAGATACTTTGATTCACAAACCAAAAGATTTTGTAAGCAGATTTAACCGCTGCTTACCTTACTTCAAATTGTTAATGTTGTTTAAAAAGAAGTTATGTTATGCCTATTTGACTGTTCAAAAATCTGATTTCATTTTAATGGGAATATAGTACACAAATTACTAAATCCAGTACAAAACAAATAAATGTAATGCAAATTAAAATTATAGATCTCAACAACGGTTAAAAGGTAAAAGTGGGTTAGCAACACCCAGTTTGAAAAGTAACCACCAGATTGTCTTGTGCATAATAAATATTTGAAGAGCATCATATGCAATGGTCAAATATTCGAGCACTTATTTCTCCTAATCTTCCTGATTTTTATAGCCCTAGAAGAAATAACATGGACAGGCCTTTCTAAATAAATGTATGTATTCCTATGATTTGAATCCTGTTACTGCAAAATAAGTCTACCTCATTCCTCTGATTAACCCTTTCATTTCCATTCTTTCTAAATCACGTCACGCACATCATCCGTTCATGTACGCTACATACAATAAGCAAAATATTTCTAGTCAAATTTATGAACTAAATCAAGTATAGTTACGCAATTTAGAAGTATAAACAAATTTTTAATATCGTAAAAAATTTTGTAATAGTTACACAATTTTTATGAAAAGTATTTTTAAGTAAATTATTAAAAATATTAAATTAAATATTAAATTAAACTTACCAATGATCGTTTACACTCAAAAAAACTTTGTCTGAGTTGAATACATTCATCTGGAACCAAATGATCTTTCAAACATTCTCGTGGGGTCTTTTTGTCCTGCAAATTGTGTGTGTGACAAAACTTTTAATGTTTACTAAATTTTTAGCACATAACTGCTCATTTAGCACACAGGTCAGTAGCAAACACTAATAACTGGGTTATTTGGGTTATACCCAAAACAAAAGACAAATAGCAAATTAGTGACGAATAAAAAATAGGAAAATTAAAGGCATAAGAATAGTGATAAAGAAAATCTAACCTTTCTGCAACAAGCGCTCTCCAATAAACACATCTTCAAATCGGCCCTAATACCAGCACAGGGCGATTTATCTTGTAAGCCAATTTCATCAGGAGCAAAAGTAACCATGTTGAACAGCGTCAAAATTAACAGAGAAGTACTTAATATATGTAATTTCGACAAAATTTTCAAAAATCTTAGACGGTCTCAAGTCAAATTTGACAGTTGCGTTTGTATATCACAATACTCCTATGATAGTTAAGTAAAGGTGAGAAAAAGCAATAAAGATTAATAAATAGGCTTCTTCTGTCAACTTACTTTGCGTAGTTACTGATATTGAACAAAATAATTGCATGACACCCTTGCACTTTTTTTGAATGTTTTTTGTGAAGTCTAATGGATAGTAAAAGTTACCAATACATATTTTCCATAGGTGTATTATCAACGTTTTGCTTAATAAAGTGGCGGTATAGACAGAGCAGTTTATGAAAAAATAAACTGGTTGCTCGACTTTGAACCGTTTGCAGTCTGACGTTTTAGTTTGTGACGTTTACTATCAGTTGTTGTGGTAACCTGAAGCAATCAAGATAATTTATAAGAAAATGCGAAATTTATTACCAATAATTACAAGAAGAAGACTATCACACGTGTGCACTTTGAAGCCTTACAAAGAGACGAGATGGCTGATGCCAAACGGAAACCCGACTGGTTTGTATGTTTACAACTGCGTCGCCGAAGAAAAGGTTCCTATTATTTTAAACGATCCTCACATCGCAACTTGGTACTCCTGTGGTCCCACGGTCTATGATTCTGCTCACCTGGGTCACGCGAGTTGTTACGTGAAGCTGGATATAATTCAGCGCATCCTAAAGTCTTTTTTCAACGTAAAACTGGTGACCGCTATGGGCGTTACTGACATTGATGATAAGATAATCCGAAAGGGTATTAACACCCAAACAGACTATAAAACGATTGCTCAACAGTTTGAGCATGAATTCTGGCTCGATATGGCCAGTCTCAACATCGAGAAACCATTGATAATATGTAGAGTATCAGATCACATCAGCTCCATTGAAACTTTCGTAAAACACCTCATAGATTCAGGTACCGCCTATGCAACAAAGGACGGCTCGGTGTATTTTGATACTAGCAAGTTTCCCTCTTATGGTAAATTGCTTAAAACTCAAGAATCAGATGAACCAAAGAGTCAATACAAAAGGAATAGCATGGACTTTGCCGTTTGGAAAGGACATAAGCCTGATGAACCTTATTGGGAGACTTCTTGGGGCAAAGGGAGACCTGGATGGCACATTGAATGTTCAGCTATGGTTAGCAAAGTCTTTGGGTCACAGTTAGACTTCCATGCTGGAGGGATCGACCTTCGGTTCCCTCATCATGAAAATGAGGAAGCCCAGTCTTGTGCGTTTCATAAAACACGTCAATGGGCGAATTACTGGATCCATGTTGGACACTTGCATGTCAAAGGCGATGTGAAGATGTCAAAATCCCTTAAAAACACCATATCTATACCTACATTGCTAGAATCATACAGCGCAGATACATTTAGAATGGCCTGTCTCATGTCAAACTACCGTTATCCAATGGAATTCAACGAACAAGTAATGAAGATGGCAGAAGAAGTTCTCAACAAATTCAAATTCTTCCTCAAAGATGCTTTAATGTATGTTAACAATAATGCTACACAAAACGGAGATTACAAAGACAAGTTATTAGATAACTTGCAGAAAGTTGAGGATTCTAATTTAGAGGCTTTACGGTCTGATTTCGATACAGCTGATTGTATTAACACACTTGTAGGTTTAATTAGTTCTACAAACAAGATTATTAAATCAAATACAACAGAGTATTATCCAGTGCCAGTGATTCTTATAGCTGAATACATAATAAGTGTGTTAAACCGATTTGGGCTGACATTAAAGGATGGTACACAACAAAATGATGTGTCAAATATTTTAATAGATATGTTGGTGGATTTTAGGCATACAGTTAGACTGAATGCTTTGAACAATAAGAATAAAGAGTTATTAAACGCATGTGACATTGTTAGAGACAAAATGAAGTCAATGAAAGTTCAAATCAATGATAGTAGTAAAACTGCTTCTTGGGTGTTTACAAAATAGGAACATAATAATAACAATGATAATGAGCCTGATTACCTTCCCTGCAATATGAGTACCAGATCACTGAAATGAGTTCTAAGGCACTAACCAGACCACAAAAACAATATTACATATTTCTAAGTTGTAGCTGCATAATGTGGAATGGGCTCCATCATGAAGTGTTTTGTTTACTCTCTTCTCTCAAAGACTGGCAACACATAGGCAGCCTCTGGTGTCCACCTCCTCATCAAGTGGCTTGTCTGCACATTTACCTCCTATTCTGCCCTCAAAATGAAAAAGGCGCAACTGCTGTATAGAGTACGCATAGTTGTACCTTTTTTCATTACGAGGGCAGTATTTTTCATAAAAGCTGAAGAAAAATTACATAAAGTGAAGAAAACCTTTCATACATTTCTCACAAACGGTGCTATGGCAAAAATCTGTTAAAAGATAAATTCATAAGATCTGACTTGACCTGTCGCTCAGTTAGTAAAGTGGTGGTCCTGGTACGGCACAGACACAGGTTAGAGTTCTGTCAGATCAAAAGGAATGTTTCTTTGTGTTCCATATTTGTATTAATAATAATAATTGTAACTCATCAGTGGAGTAATTTCACAATAAAATACATGAATATCATGTTATACTTAATTGCAGAAATATTATTTGCACCGATGAATGTTATCGCTTGGAACAGCTGATCCTTTCTATTATAATAGTGTAATAAAACCATTAACACTTCTTTTACTTAAAGTGTACAGGGGTTTTTTTATGCCTTTTGCAAAAAAAGTCCATGGACCATGAGCAGTTTTGTTATGATCTTGTTCCATCGTACGAGTTAGTGTGTGGAATTGGTGCAAATAATATTTCGTCAACTATAGCAAAACATCATAATATTAATTTAAATTAATATAAAAAGAAAAGTTTCTTTCCCGAATTGGAACCTAACCAGCCCAAAAAACTAACCTCTGCACCACCAAAGTTATATGAGTAATACATGTGTGAGTTTTAGGACCTATGTATATTATTAGGTTGTGTATAGTTTGTTATGTATGATATATAAGATCGATAATGAGCTCTAATCATGTTATTTGTTTGGTACTTTGTACAGAGATTTTAAGGGTGTTAACAATATGTTAGGTAATAAAACTTGTTTTTGTTTTACATACATTTTTATTTACTGTGACTTACATACATGACCACTGACTAGACAACACCGAAGTTGGGTTAGTAAGTGAAGGTATTTTAAACATTTGCAGGCCACATTTACATTGTAGCCAGTGACATACATGAGAATTAAGCATAATAAGAATATAAGCAACAAAATATAAGTTACATCTGGCAGCCAGCACTACACGTGTTTTGGGATAACAAACAATTGACAAACTTTAAAAATAAGTACATACTTGCGTAAGTACATTTCACTTATAATTAATGTATGACTAGTTCCTATGTAAATGCAGCCTATGACAAAACTTCCATTTATGACAATTATTCGTTATATTGTTCACATTTACATCTGACTAATTCCTGTTACATAAAGACTATATAAAGCAAATAACAGATCCTTATATTTATTATGACAACAGGGTATTTGACTACTTTTTTTATTGCACCTTTAAACACAGAAACAAGGTAGACGGATCTGAAATCGATTTAAATAACACTAGGGAGTAATAACCTTAAAGCTCAGAGATGAAACTGAGAGAATGTTCTGTAATTTTTTTAACAAAACAAATTTTTTTCATTGCGTGTTTTTTTATGATTAATCAGGCTGCGGATCTGTTTTCACTATTGATCACCAATTTAAGTTGCGTTATATTTGTCAAACACCCATTTCTTACAACATTGACGATAATGCGAGGACAGAAATTGGAAACAAAGTACCGCTTATTTAAACTTCAGTCTTATAAAATTTCATAATCATAATGCTCTTCATACTTTGTTCGAAACAAAACCTTAACTTAAAACGAGCTTTCCAAACAATTAAGTACAATTGACGCGTATGAAAGTTTTAACAACAGATCTGTTTGATTTTTAAAACAAAGCGATGCAACATTTCTCATGGAATGTAGAATTGAGAAAATACATCAGAAATTACTACTTTGCATATTTTAATCGATTACTAGTTGAAAACTTCAAAAATGTATATAAAATGCTACTGGGGAACAATTTTAATATAGATTACATCGCTTTTATCAGACAGAGAAGATGAATTTTGTGCGAAGATCAGCGGTTAGATTTTCTCTAGATGCGTAACTCTTAATAATAAATTTCAACTTTCTAACCACACTGTGTATATCGGTTACTTTCAAACCGCGATATAGCGAAAAAAAAAACAGTGACAACTATGTAGTGTGCCGATCTGTAGGCATGACATAGTTCCCACGGCGCCGACTCAACCGGCGAGAGGAAAACCCGGGGGGGGGTTTTAGTGGGGTAGGCCCTCCAGTATGGAGGGAGAGTCCCCACATAACCCCTGAGTCTCCCTGGTCTCAGGGGTATCCAAAAATATTTCCCCCCATCAAAAAAAAAAAGGCATGACATTGTTTGTTTCATATCATTACATATTGCTATTTTGTTTTGATTCTTTTTCTATTATGTTATTTTCTAAAATATGGCTTTTGAAATAAAGTGTACTTTATTTTTTTTATTTGTTTTACAATTCAACAGTGGCCATGAACTTTGGTAGGTTTACTTTACTGATTTCTTTTAATTAATTTTGTTGAACATAATTAACTTATTAAATCGTCGGTTAAAAGGTAAAACTCACTAATAGCCTAATTGGCCAAAGGGAGATAATTAAGATTTTGTATTTTTTCATTATGAAAAATCACTAAAGGACTGGTATGTATTAAAACATGAAGGACACCACAGACTTACTGAATTTTTCTTGTCATAGATGTTCTTCCCAATAAAGCAAAATTGAAAAAATCTAGTTTTTGAACAAAATGTCACTTAATGAGTTTTACCTTTTAACCGACGAAATTGAACTGCCTCTGTGGACGAACGGTTACCAGCCGGACTGCCACGCAGAGGTCCTAGGTTCGATTCCCGGGCCGGGAGAAATATTTGTATGGCCTACGTTTGTTTCTCTCGTGAGTTTGGGTGTAATTTGTGTGTGTCCATGGTACCCGCGACACAGGGTTTCCCTAGTACGGGGCTATGTTGAGTGTGTGCGTTATTATTATTTTGTTGAACATAACTTTGCTCCCACATTTATATGGCGTACGGCTATGGAGTGGAATTCCCTGCCCGCAGACTTGTTCCCTGAATGGTGTAAATTGGGCCTTTTCAAGGCAAGAGTGAATTATTTATTTAAGTGTGCATAGTCCATCATCGACTTCATCGTCAGTTCCATCAGGTGAGATGGAGGTCAAATAACGTACTTATCTGCGTCGTGTGTTCCAAACACAAATTCAAAGCACTTTACCGGCAACACCTACAATTTGTTGAAATTTTAATATTAATATTAGTTTTCATATCCCCATGTACTCTTCTTCTTGGCCTTTTCAAATATATATTTTTACTTTGATTTATTACAGTAAAACATGTTCACAATTATAATTTTCACTCGCAATTACACTCATATATTTTAAAAAATCCGCACATGCACTTACATATTGAATAAATTACTTTAGATGCCCTATTCACACTTTATTAAATTTATTATTTATAACAATTCCCCTTCTAGTCGTTTATTAGATCTTATCTAATAAATAAAATAATATATTACAAATAACTTCTAGATTTATTTAATACCTCACGTTGGTTCTGACTGAAAACCAGCGCCTTAGGGAACTTAGCATATATATAGTCTAGTCTACGCCATTTCACTGCTATAACAAAAAATATTTTATTATTCCTGTTGTATTCAATCTGTATTTGTGTCATACTTGTGAATAAAGTGTTTTTATTTTTTAGTAAAAAAATCATTACAAAAAGAATCAAAACAAAATGGCTATATATAATAACATGAAACAAATTAAATGGGGTTAAAATGTGCAGATGATCACCGTTTCCTAATGAAAATTTGTTATTCCAGGACGAATGTTTCTCTAAATTGTGCCGTATATTTTGTATTTTTTATCTCCCTTACCACTTTATACTGGGTTATGGCAGAATATTAGCTAGAGTAATTTGCTTTATAGTTCTCTATACATAAGGCATAGATCCATTTAGTAAATGTGTCTATGAATTACGACATTTTGCATGTTAAATACAGCAAGTTTTTTTTATATTGGAAAATGTTGGGAGTCGTTATATTCTTACTCATATCTAAAAACCGGCCTCAAAAGTTAGTAGAATTACATCTATTTGCTAAGTTTTATTGCAATCGGTTACCGGAACGTGTGCGAAACCGGAATCATCCCCTAGTTTGCCACCCTTAGAGGTGGAATAGTTTCTTCAAATTGAAATGGTACTGAGGTACCCTCTTCGGAACAATAAAGATTCGTCAAAATCGGTTCACAATGCCTGAATTATCGCGTAATATACATACAATAAAACATACAGTCGAATTGAGGACCTCCACCTTTTTTTAAAGTCGGTTAAAAATAATTTGGATATACGCTATGAATGAAATTGAATTCAATTTATATATACATGGGAAATGAAACTGTTTTTCCGGATTTAAACCGCGTAATTGATTAAAAGAACAAATTTTATTTTTATATTTTCGTATTCATGAAACTTGTGCGGCGTCTAGTTGCGCATCTAGAGATAATTCGCTTAAGAAGGATACACATCTATGATACATTTTATTAATTGGAAGCGGTCAGACCATTTTTGTCCTGTATTATACTCTCCGCCTTATAAACTTTACTCGAGACTAAGTAATCACGAGTCTGCTTGAATAGAGTGTAGTAGTTGATAAAAAGTAATATTACTATTGAGAGAAAGTAGTGCCACTGCGACCCGCTAAAAAGTAACGAGAGTTGCACCACTATTAACGAGAGCTGCATACAGACAAGTACACAGATTAGTAAGGAAGGATTTTCGAACACCACCTGTAGACAAACGAAGTTTTGTTAAGTTCATTATTTATATAACCAGAAATAGAGACGAAATAAGGGCTATCCATCCCTGGCAACTCGTCAGGCCTTATATCACTTTTAAATATGAACTCTGGTTTGCGCTGAAATCACAAATTAGAAAACAGAAATAGTACAGCGCCAACAACTGACCTGTGTTGGAATATACGTCTCCGTATATTACAAAAATATTCTGTATAAAGATAATATCTCTAACAATGGGGGCTGTTATTATTATTCGGTGGTGTGGGAAAAATAGCAAAACATCTAATTACAAAACAAACGGAATCACATTTCATCGGTAATTAAATGTTATATGTAATTTTTCAATTTTCGTCCATTATAGCAAAGCTCAAGCTAAACTGGTCGTATTGAAGTGAAACAATTGGCGACACCCATTAAAGACACCCGTCAATTGTTTCGAATTCGGGCTGGCCAATCGGAGCGCCGCAGTTGTCACAGTAATGATTTGGCAGAATAGTTATCAAACAAATTAAACGGCATTTCGTCTCTATTTCTGGCTACTGTACTCGCTGATTATGCTTATTCATAAGTCCTGTCCCTATCTTGACTATTGCAACTTTATGAGTAAAAAAAACAATAACATACGATTAGTAAAGAATGTTCTCTTTTTTAAACGGAGTAAAGTTGAAAATGTCCAGACATTTTAATGAAAAAACAGACGACATGATATTGTTTTCCGTCGTGCGTGTAGTGAATGCCTGAACACCCATAGCAGACTTAACTTAGGCTGGGTGTCCATTTTCTGGAATGTCAGGTTTCAAAGAAAGTAGGAAGAATTAACCTAGCGAAGACCAAAATAGATTTTGTTTCCAATTAATTAGTATAGTTGTAGAAATATTATATGCACCGATGAATGTTATCTCTTGGAACAGCTTGTCCTTTCTATTACAATAGGCAATAAAACCATTAACACCTCTTTTACTTAACGCTAACACGAATGTAACTTCAATTATTTCTTTACTCAACAGGTCGTTTTTCTTCTTAACAGTAGGTACTTCGTAGAATACCGACTGCCGACTCTTTTCTAACTAATTGAACAAGTTATTTACACATAAAGATTATCAAATTTAGAATGAAGTGCCAATGTGTAAAGGTATTTAAAATCAGTTCTTTGCACTATACAGATGGCACGTGGGTTACCGAGACGGTTCGAACTGTTGTCTCATTGTACTCTAAAGATGAAGTAATAAGACGAATCGGTGCAAATAATACTTCGCCAACTATACCACTATCATCGAGTATATAACCAGAAATAGAGACGAAATAATGGACATACATTCCTGCTAACTCATCAGTGATATATCACTTATAAATATCAAATCTCGTTTGCACTGAAATATGGACAGCGCCAACAATCGACCTGTGTGACGTCTTTGTATATTCCAAAAATATTCTGTATTTATTGTAATAAGGATAATATCTCTAACAAAGGCGTGCTGTTTCATTCGGTAGTGTGGGGGGAAAACAGCAAAACATGTAATTATAAAACAAACGGAACCAATTTTCATTGGTAATTAAATATGTAATTTTGCAATTTTCGTTATTATAGCAATGCTCAAGTTCACTGGTCGATTTGAAGTGAAACAGTTGACGACACCCATTGACGACAGCCGTCAATGGTTTCGAACTCGGGATGGCCAATCGGAGCGCAGTTGTCACAGTAATGATATCGCACTGTTAATACAATAGTGTAATAACTCAAAAAGTGTATTTTCTCAGAATCGCCCAAAAACGAATTACTTGCTTCCCTTGAAAGATCTGTGTAAATTTATGTATAGGTTATTTCCTACTTGCTAAATATACATATTTAAAAATAAAAGAGAAAAAATAATGTCATATTTTTGAATAAGGACTATGTTGACCAGAACTAGCCCACATAAAGTGCGTCTCATTTGAAGTTAAGTAGTTATGTAGATATTTTTTAGTTGTTTTTTACAATATTATAATGATGGTTTTATTGACGTATAGAGAATCAAATTTTACGTTCAACAATGGTATAATCTTGAATTTCACATTTTTTTAGTTATAACACTATTGTAATAGCAGTGCGATATGGCAGAATAGTTTTCAAACAAATTGAACGACATTTCGTGTCCATTTCTGGTCAAATACTCGATGACCACTATGGCTCTGTTCGATATTTAATCAAGCAGAAAATTTATGGCGAACACACAAAACATTATGGTAGAAGAAAAAGGGGTTTTTTGTTCCAATTGTTAATTGTTGCAGTAGGGGTAGCGCATACTAAATTAGCATTTCAACGTTGTGGAGCTAATTTTATACGCGCTTAATGTCTCTATACTCACGTAAAACCGTGTATGATGAGAGTCCATCGGCGTAGCGGCCACGCAGTTTGACGTCGCCACAAACACGCTGCCACGTGCCGCCACTCGTGCACCACGCGACCACAAGCGCCCACCCGACCACGCCACAACTTCACCACCCATGTCTATGAACAATCAATTCTCATAAAGGCCCGTATGAAACAAATATATTATAACGTGAAGGCAATTTAGGTGAAGTATAGCATACCTTAGAAGCGTGTACGAGATGCCCCCGCCAGGCCATTATTCGTGGCCTGGGGTCCATCATTAACTTAGGCCAAAACTTCTTAAATACTTCGCAGTCAGAAAAATTCACTTGCGCGTTTTAGAAAACTAACATTGTATAGACATTAATTACAACGCCATCTATTTGACAAGCTTGGAACTTTGAAATATTTACACCGCGCATTAACTTACGAGATTACATTTAAATGGAGGAAATCTAAGCAAAGCAACCTGCTTCATAAAGAAAGTTCATTGAAATCATAGATTTGTCATGTCCGTGAAGTGTGAGAGTGGTGGACTGTGGCGAAATACCCTATCCATAGACAAGATCTTTGGGATGTACATAGGTCGATTCATCACCCAACCGTTAATAGTTTGATTGTCGTAATAACGATAAACATGATTATACGCAGGACGCACCAACAATGGTCGTATCCGGTCTCCAACGGCCGAGGTGCAGCGTGGCGCGATGCGGCACGTCGGTGTACGCCGCGGGCACCAGCTGGCTAGCGTAACGGCCAAATAGCCCGAACCACACGAGCCCTATCTGCTGCGCCGCTGCGTACACGTCGTAGTACAGGAACGGCTGCAACAACAAAATGCATCAATGACATATATCTACTGCATATTATGTAAATATAGTAGTTTAATTATGTTGCTGTTACATAATGAAAAGCGTTAAAATACGAGTCTTTTAATGCCTAATTATGTGCAGTTATATACACTGTCTTATCTATACACATATTATAAGCTCTCTAAGATGTGTTCAGGAACCGCATGTTACGACTGACGAAAAGCGGCAAACAAAAACTTTTCTCACGCATGTCACACAGCCCTAGTTTTCTTTAATTCATAGACAAACTAGAGTCAGCCACAACTATCATATCGTTCGATATCAAGTAACGTGTGAGATTTGTCAAAATCGTTTGCTATTGACATTTCATTTCGAATAAAACTTCATCTCGACTGATATTAGTATTGAGGTCCAATCAAATGGTTTTGTTTTTCAGAGACGTTCGAAATTTGAATGTAATAATAAAATCGAATTTGATGTTAATATTAAACAATATTAACGTTTTCACAGATCAGAAATTTGTTCTAACAAAACGGTTTATCTTTATGCTGGTCGTAATTTGCGGTTTTTTAACACATCATAGAGGATTTATGATATGTGTGTAGATAAACAAACTAATACCATCCAATAGATATAACTGTTGACAACATGATGATGTGATTGTAAAAAAAACTATAGTATTTACCGCGCATTTACGATGAGGCCTGCGCCTTGTCAAACGATAATTTTACCTTACCGTTTGAAAATGTTTGAAATAAAAAATCCTATCCGTAATCCTTTAAAAACATGCGTTATTTTTAACCGACTTGAAAAAAAGAGGATGTTCTCAATGCGACTGTGTTTTTATTTTACCTACATTTTTGGAACACCTTTTTTTTAACACCATCGAATATAAGTAAAAAACTCACCGGAGCAAAGGTGCACGGGATGAAGCTGGAATAGTAAGTTCCGACAATGGAGTTGAAGAGGATCTTCTTGACGCGGAGGTTGAAGTCGTGCCGCAGCGCGTCCACCTCCGCGCGCACCAGGTGCGGCTCGTGCGAGCAGCAGTGCAGCGGCGCCGACGGGTTGCTCAGCTCCAGGAACGGCGACGAGTCCAGCCCGAACAGGAGCAGGTACACCACTGCGCTGGAATCACAGCGGACAACCGTTCAGTGCCTGAAATTTTTTTGTCTCGTTTTTAACCCGTAAGTAGATGTGTGTCGATCGTGTTCGATCGAATCAAAATGATTCGAACAGCACCTGTAACCCGATAACCCGGGTACTAGCTTCTAAATAACCCGATCATTTTACAGTTTCATGGGTCATGCGCGCAATTTTCGACTTTATCGTTATAATTTTAGAGATTATTCAACAATTCACAATATTATTGTTGTCTCGTTCACTCTCACGTGAAGTCCCCACTCACGATACGGTACGCCTTCTCACTTTTCGTTGGGGTCGAACATTTGTTCGATGGCGCATTCGTCTGATAGAACCTTCGTTCGATCGTACCAAAAACTCAAGCAATCGTGATCGATTGCTTGACTTGACGTGTCAACTGGTTAACGGATCAATGACTCTATCAATCATTCATCCTAATTGCTCCGTGCCGCTTAGTGTCCATTACATGGTAATTTTGTGTTTAATCTGTTTTTCGGTATGTTGTGTTTATTTAAGAGTGCACCAGCTAATATTAAAATATCAATGAATAATAAATTAGTAATTTTGGACGTGCATAACTTTTTTGTTATGTACTTTTGTTTTGTAACACCGTTACTTTTCCTAGAAGGAAAATTTGTGTCCTAAGTGTGATTTATCAATGATGCATTTAACTATAGACACATTACCCAACAGCAGGAAAGAATAAAAGCCAATTGTATAATTTGACATTTTTAAACGCCATATGGAAGGAAGTATCATGCGAGGTAAGGTGGACAATCCCGGAACACTACGTCGACATCAATTGTTTTACGCCCCCCATGCGACACACTTGTCGGGCTGACAACGCGCCCACGAAACGTAGTCTCACGTTGCTTAATTGTCTAGTCGCCAAGGTCCAGGATGCTGACATCTTTTGCGACAGCATTAGCAAAGTAATTTATAAGGCAAACTTAGCGTATCAAATATGTGTGTAGTATAAGAAATTAGCATGTAAGCGTTTTGATTGTTACTGTAAGTTTACATTGTGTTTTTCATAAATAAATAAAAATCATGAGAGATGGGGTGACCCGCTAAAATATCGAACATATGATCGAATTATTTGACCCGATCACAATACGCATGGGTCACGATCGACCAGTGCAGTGTTATCAAAAAAGATCGACCGACACAGTTTACCCGTAATAAAACAAATAGGTATACGGCATTTTGCTTTGGGGTAATGCCGCCGATATCAACAGCATCTTTGTCCTGCAGAAACGTGCAGTTAGGGCAATTTACAATCTGGGCCCCAAAGTATCTTTAAGAGATAAGTTTAAGGAAATTAACATTCTTACACTAGCCTCACAGTACATTTATGAGAATGTAATTTATGTTAAAAGGAATAGTAATTTATTTATGAAAAATAGTGACAGACATAACATTAATACGAGGAATAGAAATAAACTAGCTTTTCTTGATAGTCGTCTTCACAAAGTCAAAAAATCATTTAAGGGGCAATGTATACGCTTCTATAACAAGATTCCGGTTGATATACAAAATTTGCCTTACACGAGGTTTAAAACTATAGTGAAACAAAAACTTTATACTAAAGGTTATTATACAACTTCTGCGTACTTGGATGAGAAAAATCCGTGGTAGTAACCCGTTTAGCTCATGGAGGTAGTCTCGATCTCTGATGTTTCAAATAATAAAAAAAATATTGTAAATGTTATTTACAAAGAGCAACCCCTAGAGTTTCTTGCTCATTCTTCTCAGGGGAATCTGCCTTACAAATGAGCGGTAGAGTTTAATATTGTGACGATTTCAAGTGTAATAATGCTTACCTATGAAATAAAGATTATTTTGAATTTGAATTTGAATTTGAATTTGTTATGCACGGCTGCAAAGTTGTTATTTGACGCGAGTGTTTGTATTGAATCCCGAGCAAGCGATGGAAGCTCAGCCCCCCGATTCATGACTCTGCGATATTTTAACCGAATCGTACGATTGGACATCGTTCTCGAATCGAAGGGCGCTTTCCGAGCTATTCAGAACATTTGAGTTAAACTTTCGATTCGGATACAGCGTTTACGGAGTTATAAAATTAAAATTAAAAATTTATTTATTTCTCAATTTGGTTCAACAATGGTAGATCAGGTCCTCCCTTTATGCAAATGTATGCTTTTGTTGGGAAAGCCTTGTAACTAAGCTTAAAACTGAGAATTTACAAGAAAGTTACATCAGTGGGTTAATTTTAAGATATAATGATATTTAAATTTTAAAATGGAAAATTTAAAAAATAAAAAATAAAAAATTAAAAAAAAAATTAGTTAGGAGTTAGTTGGTGAAATAGATTATAAGAAAAATGAAAATCCTTTTCCATACATTTTTAAGACTTTAATGGCCTAAAATATAGGTATATAATAAATAAAATTAAACAAAATCCAGACTTTATTTAAAATAATAAGACATTCCCGTATTACATACTTGCTTTGTAAACAATAGAACTGTCGGTAACTTTCATTCGATATCTGTGTTCTGAATAACGTTTGTAGCCTTTGCCGGTCGAGAACTATGGGATGGGATGAGAATCGTACGGGTGTGACGTCATTTCGGTTCGGTTTCGAATATGACAGTTTGACGTTCGATTTAGGTGTTGTGAATAAAAATTAAAAGAAATCGTACGATATCTAATCGAACCGGTCGACAACAGACTTATCGTAAGGTTCTGAATCGACCTGCTGATCAAAAATTGATTCTTGAGCGTAGCGTGGTATTCAGGGCACGAGACGCAAATAAAATTTTATTCCGAGCAAAACACACAACTTTTCACCTCACTAAAGCAAGGAAAATGGTAGATGAAAGAAAAATAGTTCCAACTATAAAACATCAGTTTTTTTAATTAAAATGAAAAGTTTATCTTCGGATGCGTTCTGAATTTATGCCCCACCAATTTTTATCCTTGCTTGTACTTTCATTTTGTGTGATTAAGTGATGGTCTTCCACGACTTGAAATAATTTAATAAACACAATTAGTTAATGTCAACAATATTAAGAATGGATTTATATTACATAAATAAGTAATGTACGACAAGTCGCTTATTTGAATGTGTCATTACGTTTTTTTTTCATCGAATGAAAAAGTTAGGTGCATGACAGTCGTCGAGTTCTAATTTCAAAAACCCAAAAACCTTTTCCACTTCTCATGCTCTTAAAGTTCGTATTTATGCTGCGTGTAGGCTGCGTAAAATAGGATTTTATGCTCTAGTGCAGAAAATAACATCGTCATTTAAGACCGACGCAATGACGCCTGCGCCAACAGCCACGCACACTAGAACTTTATAAAATAAAGTTTAACTTTTATTTTTTTAAACCGTGTTATAATACAAAATTAAAAAAGTAGGCAATAGTAATTCTAAAAGTTATAAGAAATAGAAATGCATAAAAAATAAAAGCTTGTAAAATATAACAGCGCATTATGTAGTCCGACCTGAGTCACGTGTAGAAAATAATCGTTTATTTGTAATATTACTGTTTAATTTCCTCGCAATCGAAGTGAAAAGCAACGTGTATAACTCGTTCATCAAACCCATTTTGCCGTCGACTTAAGTATCATATAGCATATTATTATACTCGGTTCGGGTAAAATGACGCATTTTATGCACTTGTTGTACAATCTACTATTGCGCGCAGATTTCTAATGAGAAAGAAAGCCTATTTTCCACTTTATTTCTTCTAAGTAATCGATTAACCATGTTAGCACGTATCCAAGTTAGTGTAAATAATATATACTTACGGGTAAAGCAAGAAGAATATCTTGATTAATGAATACTTATAAACCATCGTGTACGTTAGGTAGAGTAGCACACCGCCAATCATTCCCAGTAATAATCCCCTGTAAGTGAGAAAAAAAACGAATTAATAGAAAATCTCTATTGTTATTATAAAAAAATAAAAATAAAATACTTTTATTTCGGACAACAAGTTCCATATTTTGTTAGTAATAATAATAATAGAAAAAGAGCTTATAAACTAGTGTTAGTAAATATTTGTACATCATTGGTTAAATCACCCTCCTTACGAAGCATTGCCACATGGGAGAGGTGATCCTAACAGCTACAGTTTGTAGGATGCTGTTGGGGCTGTCCCGCACTCTGCGCATCAGGGATGCTGTCTTTTTTCGGAGGATGGCAGCAAAACCATCCGTCTCATATTATGACTTTACCACTTAATCAGATACAGCCGAATTGCTCTTTTTTTTTTCAAGAATAAGGGGCACAAATCAAAACGGTTAACTTTTTAATTTATTCAACTTGACATCTGTATGTTTAACCGACTTTAAAAAAGGAGGGGTTTTCTACGTAGGTTACGCGATTATTACGGCATTTGGGAACAGGTTTTGATGATTTTTTTTTATTGGAAAAAGGGTACCTCTGTATTGGCCTCATTTAAATTTGAAGAAAATATGTATAACAGATTTCAATAAATGTTAAACTTTATTGTAAATAAGACAACTGAGCCGGCCGGGCATATTGAGGACGGGTTCCGCGGTCAGGATACGCGCGAGAGGACGACACACTCACCTTATCGACAGCCACCGGTCACGATCGACCTTTCTACTATACTTTGTTTAGGTACTTATCTAAATGTAAACAATCTTGAGTGTCTATTTACTACATTAATGAAATAATTTTTACTTACCTTCAAATACAAATACTTGGCTTCATATGAAATTGCATGACTATTTTTATACCTATTGATTTGTAAAGTATGCTTCAATAATAAGATGTATCAAGATTGTTTACATTTAGTTAAGGACCTAAATAAATGGACTGTATAATGTTGCATTTGCAAACAAAGGGGTTATTTTTAAAATGCTGACAACCTCATAGGACTATATTACAAACATCATAAACAACAACTTTTGTTCCATGATTTTTTACAAAAAAATAATAAATTTAAAAAAATAAACTTTTAAGTTTTTGTTGTACTATCTGACAATTTTTAGATCTGTGTTTGGTAGTAAGGTAAGTTAAAACGTGCAAGCGTCCTCCGCGACACTTCCACAACGACAGGCATGGGACAGGGAAAATTTGAAGTCTCTGGAGGAGGCCATAATTTAATTCATAATCGTGCGAACGTAATTTAATTATAGGAAAATGTTGAACACAGATTTATTTGGAATGAATTATTAATCTTGAAATTATTTAAGTAATCATTTTACGTTATATATATATATATATATATATATATATATATAATATATAATAATATATTTTTTAATAGCCTTTATTGCTGATACAATTCAAATGTTACAATATAATTCATTACTAGAAAATACAATTCATTATTAAAAATATATATATATATATATGATGTTAGTAATATAGTATAGGTTGTTAGTACTTTACAAATAACCCTGATAACCCTGTAAAATTTAGGCGGCGAATATACCAGCCCTATTGTAATACAGTCCACTTTTTATCTCACGTCGCATTAGGACCCTAATAGGCATAGTAAAATTATACATATAATAAAAAGTAGTAATGACTCGTGGTAACTTAATAAAGTCGCACCGACTTACCGCCCCTCAAGCAGAGGGCGTGGATTCGGATCCAGACTTGAGCTTTTCAGTGAAGGAAAACGTAGTGAGGAAACCTGCACATATTTGCAAAGCAATTTAATGATTTGTGTAAAGTTTCCAATTGAGAACTACACAGCCCAAGACCTCCCATTGTGGAAGGAGACCTAGGCCCAGCAGTGCGACTATATGTACATAGATTAATTATTAGTATTACTACTTATAATAATTATAAGGACACGTTTGTGCGCAGCCACTCCACGAGCCATGATACACTCGCTACGCATGCGCACTGCGTCGTGCGCCGGCGACAGATCTCCGCCCACGTTCAGTTCGCGCGTCCCCGACCCTGCGTTTATATGTGTTGTGTATAGTTCCGGCCGCCGCGCTCCGACCGCGCGGCTTTTGATGTTAACATACCATAATATGTAGGCTTTACGAATAAACTAAGTGTGTATTCTATTGTCCGTGTTTTATTGTGATTCGTAATGTTTCTAATATAATGAAACAAAAGAAACTGCATATAAAATTAATTACTTCGCAGGTTTGAAGGTATTTGGTAGGAGTATAGCTGGCAGCACACCTCTCAGCACGGCTAGCGTCAGACTGAATAGCAGTCGTCGACTAATTACCACCACTATGAATGCCACCAAGTTTATGTCGATTAGATAGAAGTGCTGAAAAGGGAAAAATACTACAAATTAATAACAATATATTGTTGACTCCTCTAAGCACAACCATTCCACTGTTTATGGTGTGTAACGAAGCGTGCGCCTGGTGGTAGGAGACACGCCTGTCCATAGCAGTTGCAGTGTCACTCAGAGCTATAAATCGCAAAGATCTGAGGGGCACTGCCACTGCGCCCGTCACCCTGAGGCATAAGTCGACAAGTAAAACATTACTGCTTGGTGGCAGAAATAGGTAAGGGTACTTCCCTGGACGAACTCTTTCACAAGGAGCTTTAATGTTACAAAAATTTATAAAATCTTTGATAGTATGTATACAATATTGGCCATCACTAAACCATCTGTCAGACCAATATAATATATAATATTAATAAATTTAACTGCCTCGATGGCCGAACGGTTACCATGCCGGACTGCCACGCAGAGGTCCCAGGTTCGATTCCCGGGCCGGGAGAAATATTTGTATGGTCTACATTTATTTCTCTCGTGAGTTTGGGTGTAATTTGCGGTTGTCTATGTGTGTATCCATGGCACCCGCGACACAGGGTTTCCCTAATGCGGGGCTATGTTGAGTGTATGCATTAAAAAAATAAGTTTTTATTAAACACTTTTTTCCATCCTCTAAGATTAAATATAGTTTGTAAAAAAATAAAATAAACTACTAGAGTACATTTTTGAACAGAATATTTCAAGAAAATTGTGATAAAGGCCCCTAAGGCTGCTAAACTGCCTCCAATAGCCGAGATCGACTGCATGCAGTTAATGCAATCGTACTCTCGGCTGCATGAAGTTGATTACTACTTCACGCATTAACTGCTAACATGTAGTCAATCTACAGCCATGTTAGCAGCCTTACCCATCAAAACTGGAATGCAGTTATGGTCACATTACTGCTTGGTGGCAGAAATAGGTAGATGGCAGTACTTCCCTGAACAAGCTCTTTCACAAGGAGCTCTACTGCTCGTAAAAAAGACCACAGGAAGATGTTACGGGCACGGTGAATTCCGCCAAAATTATTTAACAATTTCTTCCAGGTCGACTTATAATAAGAAATTAAAAAGTCAGAAAATGTTTAACCAAAGACAATGAGTATGTATGAAAATATATGAGTATTTACTCACCATGGCTTCAGTGACCTGCGAGTGTGGCAACCACCATGCCGTTCTATACAAGTTGAGAAGCTGTAGGCACGTCGCTACTAACGTAAATACAAATGTCATCATTTCAAACAGCAGTTCTCCGTCCTGAAAGAGATAATAATATAAATCATTTTATTGTACAGTCTGTGTACTTGTAGTCTAATGTGAATAGTTAAAAATATATAATTAAGGTGATTCCTTTGTTACATATTCATAATTATAATAATTAATGTAATATTGATGAGTTTATTATATGCGGTAACCACAACTCCATGATCATGAAATGGACCAATTGTAAAATTTTTTGCAAGTTAGAAATGGCGCAATACACTTGGATTTACGACACTAAATATTACAAACTTTACCATCACTGAAATTTACTTCATTTCAATTCAATGTCCATTTTCATTTCATACAAATTACTGTTTTTTGAAAAGTCTACCAGCCTACCTACCGTTTTGACTTACTGTCTCTCAAGCAGAGGCCGTGAGTTCGAATATTGGGGTTTTCGGAATTTTATTTGATATTTGCCATGAAGTTGTCAGTGAAGGAAAACATTGTGAAGAAACCTGCACATCTAAGAAGATTCACAACACTCCAAACCTGTGGAGCCCCCAACCTGAATTGAGCCAAAATAGTGGACAACGGCCTAAAAAACCTTCACCTGAGAGGTGACAAATGCCCAGCAGTGAACCGTATTAATAAGTTGATCAGTGGGTTAACTCCTAGGCTTTCATACATAACAGCAACAGCCTTCGACATTCATCTTTGGCTTCAACACCCTGCTTTAGTGCTTTCATACACACTCAACTGTTAAAAGTATCTTGACTTGGCCTAGCATATTGCTTTTTTATTTTTCCTTAACCTTTAAATTTAAGATGTGCAAACACTTTTATAATATAAAAGTAACTGGACTTACTCGCGTAGTATTTTAGTCGGAAGCGGTCCGCCTAGTTTCTACCATAATAACCGTTACCAACCAACACATCCTTCACATGATCTAGCTCAGCATCTATGTAATCCGGGTCGAAAAGTTTCAAAGCTCTATTAATGAGCGTCCGCGGAACTGAGGCTAAATAATAATAATAATAACGCACACACTCAACATAGCCCCGCACTAGGGAAACCCTGTGTCGCGGGTGCCATGGACACACACATAGACAACCACAAATTACACCCAAAATCTCGATTGGTGACGTGAATCCGCACTCAGGTATCTATCCGTGTGCGTTGGGTTCTGATACACCGCATGAGACAACCGTTATGTTCACGTCTCACCAACACATCCGAGAAAGGAAGAACCCCGTTCTGCTCACATTCCACGGTGAAGGTGATCTTCGGGTGAACGCTGTTTAAGTGTGCCAATAGCGAATCTACTCCCTCTTTAGGCATAATGGCAAATACGTCATCTACATAGACTGGGTCACGTTTGCTCCCCGGTTTTCCTAGCCAAAATAAAAGTACGTGATCACTCCCTCTGCGAATGTGGACTAGAGGAAGGCACTCTAGAACACTTATTTTTTAACTGCCCCCTAATAAGCTTCCCACTTTACGATTTGCTTCCCGAAAATATTCCTCGCCCAATAAATATCAACTATTTCCTAGCCAACGCACACTCTCCAGTAGTATTCACTTTATACAAATTTCTAAAACTTAATAACATAAATCTGTAACCAGCCCCGAATAGCCTCTGCTCGACCACATTCATTTAATAATTTTCTGCCCCAACAATGTGAGTCGGAGAAAAATTCTCATTTCTGATCAGTCTTAATTTTTAAGAAAAATGAATATTCTTTATTCGTCCCGTATTCTCCCATTTTCTTTCGTATAATTTTATTTCTTTCTCCATCCTCCATGATAATTTTCCACGCTGACACCGGTCAAAAGTTTGTTATTGAACGAAAACGACGCCTAACTTTGTTTTACTAAACGATTTTATTTATTTCCCGCTAAATAAAACTTCCTACAACGTTTCTAAAAGAAAGAAAATAACATGAGCTCTCAAATTATATTTTTGTAATGTCATTAAAATATATATATAACCGTCATTGTGAATAAAAACCGCCGAAGTATTTTAATAACCGGCAATCTGTCTCACTACCGCTACACATGTCTCTCAACCCTGACATTGGCAAAATCGTCGCGCAAAACGACGGAGCCATAGACATAAAAGTTGAAGTTGAAGTCATCTACATAGCGCCACCAGTAACTCGGTTCGAATGGAATGTTCACCAGCGCAGTATCCTCAAACCATTCCATAAATATGTTAGCCACCACCGGAGCTATCGGTGATCAAATTGCTACGCCGCCGATTTGTAAAAAGCAATCACCCCTCCACATAAAGTATCCCCTCGTCAGAATCTACTGTATCAACTTCATATAACCGACAGGTAAATTAATACACCCAACTAAATCAGATATAATCATAAGTACGTCCTCTATCGGTATATTTGTAAACAATGATACAACATCAAAACTCACCAATATCTCGCTATCACTAACACGTACTCCTTCCAACAACTGTACAAAATGTGTAGAATCTCTCACATAACTTGATGTTTTACCCGTGAAAGGAAGTAGTACGTCCGACAGGAAACAAGCAGTCTTATATGTTGGCAAATCTATTTGACTCACTATAGGACAAAGGGGCCATGCCGGTTTGTGGATTTTAGGCAACCCGTAGATCTTTGGTGGTGTGGGGTTCAGCGGACGTAGGATGTCGTATAACAGGTCATCCGGCAGAATTTTAGCATTTAGCATTTTAGCTGTGGCATTACCTTTGTCCGCTGGCAGAACCAGTACAACAAAATCCCTCTGTAGTGCATCCAGAGCATTCAACTCAGACCTGGGTATGTTAGGCTTAGTTAGTGGTAACAATGTGGTGAGCTCTGTGAGCTGAACTGTTCCCAAAAACAATCCTACGGACAGCAGTAGCGAAGAAGAGTTCCAGGACGCGCTGACGCAATGTATCAACCTCCCGAATTCCCCATTGTGGACTGCGTCATCGGCGCGCGCGCAGAGAGCCGCAGGGCGCAGTGCTAGACGTGACGCGGTCGCGAACACAGACAGGTGAAAATTAAATTTAAAATAGTAAGAATGTGAAAACAATCACCTGTGGTATATATGGAAATGGTATATGTTTAGGAGGGACCGGACCATCTGTTAATCTGACTTCAGGTGCAGTTGTCACAGGCGGTGTGACACGAGTTGTGCGGACACGTTTACTGGCTCCATTCAACTCTTCTTCTGGAATTGGGAGTGTACCCTGGAAATAATGTCAAAATAAAATAAGGCAATGTAACTATTTTTTCAGATCTTAATAGTGCATATTGGTTTCTATGAACAAACAAATGTTTCAGGTTCTTTACAGGTCCCATGGTCACAGCTGACTGAGACGTCAACCAGTCATGTCTAATATTATTGCAAACCACCCTATTTTTCACTAAAACTACAGAAGTTATTAATTAGATTTGTTATTATTAATTAAAATTAGACTTGACTAGTCAATGACTTTACCATCTTAGTCAGCTGTGGCAGAACCTTTACAGGTCACTTTGTTTGAAAAACCAAATAGATACCATTTAGATCTCGCAAAAATAGTTTAATTTTCTAAGTGTCTACAATTGCGAAAACCTAAAAACTGTATATGTAAACATTGTTCCGGTTTTAAGATTAACGTTACATCCATGTGTGAAATGCAAAAGCTTCTATAATAGTATTAAAATCCATAATTTTAATATTACATATACCACTATGTAACATAATATGATTTCTGTAAAAAGAATCCACTTCCCTAATAAAACTTTAAAGAAGACACATTTCTTAGTTTAAAAACAATTTTATTTGAACATTTTATATGACATAAATCCTATTGTTTGGTAATAGAACGCAGCTAACTTCAATCAAAGGAACCAACAGGAAGATCATGTATAATATTGGTCCATGACCTCACAGAAATTGAGTGATCTAACAAGCATTATGCAAACTCTGCACTGATAACACCAAACCGCAAGGTCATCGGCCACCGCGCCGGCAAAACGTACTATATACACTGACTCTAGATGCACACGTATAGAAACTACAATGCCAGAGTGTATAAACTTTTGTTCCACGTTTATACCTTTTTGGAGGAGCCTGCCGCCTTTTTAGACCCTGGTGCGACCATTTTGCAGGCTATTGGTGGCAGGGGCCGCTTAATAAGCGGGTCTTTAATGATTTTCCGCCGTCTCGACACGGCAGTAGATGATGTATTCGACACCTGTGAGTTTGCCCACCGCCGAGCCAAAAGTATAGTCAGACAGCCAACGACCGCTGGTAAGAAGAACACGACAAAAGGGCCACTTTCATTTTCGGTACAACTCATCACTCACATGTTAAAATATTTATATATAGTCACAATATTTTATTTCGATTCACACACAAAACGAGACACGTCCTGCCGTCAACGAAGTTTGATTCCTAGTGATATGCGTTTGATAAATAAAATCGATATCGATGCTTGCGATTCTTGTAATTATTGCTCATCTATCACATCACTGTACAGTAAAATAAAACGTTAACAGTATTTAGCTAAAAATGTATAAATCGAGTTCTTAGGTTTACGTCGGTTTGTTTGGAAAAACAAATATACGCGATTTAAATTCGGAAAAACAGTTTCATTTCCTATAAAAATGTATAAGTCATTATATGATACGCTAATTAAGTGCCTTTAAAAATTTATATCAGCTGTCTTTCCAACTCACCTACGTATAAGGATTATTACTAATTAAAAATGGATAAATTATGCCGTTTAATACTTCTCACATTAATATTTCAGAACACACTAGGCTTTAAATATGAGTGTATATACATTTTGTATGAAAACCAGTTATGTTACTTAACACAAATAATTTATCACATTCCTTTTATTTCTTGAATACAAATTAAATATTTTTATGAGCTTTTATAGCAGTCCATCAGTAAAACAATTATACATTATTATAATGATTTACATTGTAATAAAATATCGATGTCGATATTTTTGATTATTGCAACAAAAGGTCTTCACTATTGAAAATATATTTTTTTAAATATATAAACACTGGTTCGAAAATTGTACAGCCAAGTTTTGATATTTTTTTTGCGTGTATTCGAAATTTACCCATAAAAAAAAAATTGACATTTGAATTGAATGTCATCATTGTCATCATTGACGTTTTTTTCTCTGGAAGTGCTGCGGGCGATTGATTAGCTTTCAATTCAACTAAAATATGTGCCGAGCCGGCTTTCTTAATAAAGACAATGTAAAATGAAGAAACAATATAGATCGGAATAATCAGGAAGATGTCTTTCACTGTGTTGTGCACTTGTACAATAGCCTTCTATACAATTCTATGGTTTTTTGATTCGTTCTTCAGGGTCCGTATCGTGCTTTGTTTATGTCATTGATTATATTATTTTGAATCATGTTTCAATTTCATCACTTATTTTTCCAGAGTTGTATGGTCTACCCGTACTTCGCTTTCCTAGAGGGAACAGGACTGAAAATAGGGATCCTAAATTTTTCATGGACCACGACAGCTTTCAACAGATTCATTTATCGTTGGAGCAAAAACTTAAAACGTGTGTTACGAAGATGGTTCGTAGCTGGATATATTGTGACAATTTATATGTTCCTGCCTTTTGCTTTGTGGACATTATTCACAGTCATATTTGAATATTTCCACCAGAATAACGGTCAAAATAATGCGCCGGTTGAGGTTAAGGCAGTTATGCCCGGCATCAATGTCCCGGCGTCAGATTTTTTTGTGTACTTCATATCTATAGCATTTTGCAGTTTAATACACGAGCTCGGTCATGCATTGGCAGCTGCTGATGAAGATGTACAAGTATTGTCAGTAGGCTACTTTGTATGCACTATAATCCCTGTAGCTTTTGTCCAACTGAACACAGATCATTTGAATAGCCTAGATATAGGTAGAAGATTGAAAGTATATTGCGCAGGGGTATGGCACAATGTGGCTACATCTCTAATTGCAATATTGCTATTTATCTCAACACCAATCTTATTTGGCCTAGCTTATGATATTGATCAGGGTGTTAGAATTGTAGATTTCACTGAGGACTCCCCTTTGAAAGACGTGAGGGGGTTTGATAAAGGTGACGTGATAACTTCTATAAATCAATGTGAAGTTAAAAATGGTGGTGATTGGCAACATTGTCTACATTTGGCTCATGAACGTTATGGCATATGTATTACTCCGGAATATGTATCACAGAATGATGAACTCGCTATGGAGACTATAAAAGACAATGATGTAGTAGAATGCTGCAGAAAGGATGACATCTATAGCTTTTGCTTTGAATATATAGAGCCTTCTACAGCTGTTGACTCAGTGTTGCCAGGTCAATATTCTTGTTTGAAGCCCAGGGATATGGTTATGTATGGATATGAGAAATGTCAGTCTTCAGAAAGCTGGACTTGTGGGGCAGGAAAACACTGCCTTAAACCTTGCTTAAATAATCACACCTACCTTATAATAATAGAAAGAAAAGACAATAACCCTGTCTTATATTTAGGACTGCCAGTTGATTTGCACAAAACCATTATTGTTGATCAGTATTTTCCTAAATCCAGTCTTTTTGAATTCTTTTCACCGTCACAGTTTGAGAAGCTAATGAAGTACATTTTTATTTTCTCTATGGGCATAGGGTTTTTGAACATAATTCCGTGCTATGGGACTGATGGTCATCATATTGCTAGGAATATAATTCAATTTATAGCAACATACATGAAAAGAGGCAGCGAATTTGTACAATTAGCAACCATGTTAACTGTATTTGTGGGTACAGCTATTACAGTGCCTATGTTAATGTTGTTGTTTTATAAAGCCATATATGAATCTGATTAGAAAACAGAGGTATAAAAGTGTATAATGGAGCTTTTATAAGAAATTAAATTTATAATTATGCAACAGAAAGTCTGAATTTGCCTGGAAGTGTTTTAAATTTATTAGCTTTATGCGCACAATAACTGAAGGAAATTTTGTTGTCACACTGATGAGAACACTTACAGACAGATGTTATCAATATTGCATTTAACATATAGGGTGAGAAACAAAAGTTATAGGCAATAAAATGAGGCAGTCAACAATTAAAAAAAAAAAGTTTTTTCCTCTTTATAGTTTTAGCAATTGGAAATGAAACCATTTTTTCTAGATCTAGAATTTATATTCGTTTTTTCAAACAAACCAACAATTCAGGTTCTTTACAGGGGCCATGGATACTGTTGACTCACAATATAATTTTATTTCCAACAAGTTTATTGCTTAAACTTAATTTAAAATGTACAGCATATAATTTATATAATTTTTTGGACATTATGGAGCTCTCGTTATTTTGTCAAGATATTACAACTTTAGACCCTAGTCTGTTAGCTGTTAGATTTATTTCACCTTTCTAATTTGACCAAATTGATAACATTGAAAAACATTAAGTTTGGTTGGTGTCTTTATTGTTAATTTTAATTAAATTATAATTGTGTACAAAGCCTAATTAGATAGATTGACATAAATATATTAATAAAAAAATAACATCCACTCCTCCCGTGTTGAGGCTACCTCCGTGACATTGGCGGAATTGAGAAAGACAGAACAAGCCACTAATAAATAAAGAAGAAGACTATTTTTACTTATTTAATTTCTCCTTGCAATAAATAAATCTATTTACTAAGGATAGTTAGCAGTACACTTTCACTATTTACAAGAAAACATGATTGGTCAAAAACATAACTAAAAATAACAGGACCTAGTTTCACAGGACAACCAGTCAAGTATAATAAAATAAACACGAGAAAGAGAACATGGCAACTTTCTAATTATGTAAATTTCCCTTACGGTCCACCCATATTTACCCTGACTGGAAAAAAGTCTTATGAGGAAGAAGATAAGTTAATATGTCACATTTATAAGTGATGCCCTTAACAGTATTGTACAGAGTAAAAAAATCATTGAGAAGCACTTTTACTCATTGCCAAATTCGATTGCAAATCCTTCAAAGATTTCTGTCCATGTTTAAGTAACGACTTGATTGTATATTCGTCTGTTTGGTGCATATTTTTCCTGAAATCTGCCTGAGCCCATTGTTTTAGTTCCAATCTCGTTTTTTCATCCGTGACTTGTCTGAGAGCCCTGAAAATGTCCTTGTAGAGGCTTATTACTTCCTGGCGTATCAGGAACTGTAAATAAATTAAATGATTATGTTAGTGAGAATTAAGTGCAACTCTGCGTCAATGATTAGCTATTAATCAAGGCCACCAACAGGGTAAGGTTATGGATTAGAATTGTCAACTGAAAATATAACTTTTTGTTTATATCTTATTTATTAATAAGGCCTGTAACACTTGGATGTCAATCTCGGCCTTGTGATGTCAATCCCTGTGGATTATTGTACTTTATCGTGTTGCCTCGTAGTGAGAGGCAAGGCCTTATATATTAGTACAGCCACACAACACAACATTTAACTCTATCTATCTCTATTTAGAGCCACATAATGGCCCTATTCCATTGAATGTAGCATTATCTTCCAAGTTTGTTACAGAATTTACATACTGGAGACTCTACTCCTTTTATTAGATGATAGAACTTATTTAAGAGAAGGTGGCCAGTATGAAGTCTGAAAGCCAAGACCAATGCATTTCTACGAGGTGAAACATCCAAAAACCAATGCACTGGAACAGTTTTGTACCAAATTCCTTTCACTGCAGAACGGTATGATTTCTGCAGCAAGAGGTTTACGTGATGGTTCCATGGATTCCGTTACGAGGTGGTACTATACTTCAAAGGGTTAGTTAAATAAATGTAAACAAACTGTAATAAGGTATTTTATGAGGCATTACCTGGTTACTTAATGTAAAAGTATAATGAACTGTTTGAAAATGATTCTAAATATATGATAATATTTTCAGGTCGTAGACAACATTTCAAACTACCAATTTAAAATACTATATAATAAAATATAAAGTTTAATTAAAGATGCTTAATAATACAACAACAACTTTCCTGTGATAGACAACCTAAAATCCAGCCATTAAAGAGACGACAGCTAATATAACATACGAGCAAATTTACTGGTACCTATACAAAAAGTACTTTGTGGACCAAATTAAAGAGTACAGCAGTAACGATACGAGACCCCCTACTAAATATTGTATTTGACTGGATAAACAAAAAATAAAATAAAAAGTGACAAGTTTGATTACTTTTACTTAACCAATTACCTAAACCTTTATGCTATAATTTTCATACAATATTTAGAAGCATCGTTTCAATGCTGATATTAACTAGGTACGAACTTATAGGTTATATCAACGACGCAAGGTTTTAAACGATTTAATATCTCCACATGAGTACAAAGTGTTTTAATGTAGTAGATAAATATATAGTGTAGACATCTGATAGGATATTTAGCAATAACGTGCATAATATAACATTCACCTGTTTCAAAGACATAGTGGCGCTCGGTAGCTTTGACATTTTGAACTTCTCTACAAAAATTGGGGTCCACAAACAATTTACCTTAAACTTTTGTGTTTCTTCACTGTAAAACGTACATAATATGAAAATTTTAAGACATTCAATCGAATGTTACACAACCGAAAACAAAATAAAGTCGCGCAACGCGCAATTTATTCAATTTACGTTCTGTCAGTCAGCTGATTTTGACGTTGACCGAGAATAGAGAAAAAAACGAATATTTATAAAATTCCTTTATTTTTTGCATCCTCTAAGATATAAAATAACGGTTTTGATAAGCCTCCTTGTATCGAACTTGAAATATTTTATTCAAAAATCTACTCCAGAATTAGTTTATTTCAATTTTTTAACCGACTTCAAAAAAGGAGGAGGTTCTCAATTCGCCTGTATGTTCTTTTTTTTGTATGTATATTACGCGATAACTCCGGTATTTGTGAACCGATTTTCATGATTCTTTTTTTGTTGGAAAGGGGGTACTTCTATAGTGGTCCCATTTCATTTTGAAGAAAAGCATCCACCTCGAAGGGTGGCTGATCACGCACGAAGATTCATTTTTATAAATAGCGCCTAACTTTAATTTAGGAGCAATTGCTTTAATGGTTGATTTTGCTATTTCTCCAATTCAAAGCGTTTTTCTTTCAATATACTTTGAGTAGTGAGAACCGATTTTTATTATCTCCAGTGTCAAGTCCTGTATAGTGGCGAACTAGGGGATATTTCAATAAAACTTAGCAAATAGACGTAATTCCACTTACTTTTGAGGTCGGTTTTTTTGGTACTCTGTACTGAGATTATTACAAATTATATTTAATCTTAGAGGATGGAAAAAAGTATTTAATAAAAACTTATTGGTCTGACAGATGATTTAGTGATGGTCAAAATTGTACACATACGTGAGGCGCACTATAAGTTTCCGGAATGAATAAGAAAAATTACTATAAATAGTGAGAAATGAATTTATTGTTTCTCAAAATATTCTCCGTTAGCGTTAATGCACTTTTTCATACGAATGAACCAATTTTGAAAATATTTATGCCACTCCTCCGTGACAATCTCTGAAACATATTTTTCATACTCTTCGACAGCCTCTTCAGGTGATGAAAATCGTTGACCGCGTAACTGATTCTTAATTTTTGGAAATAAATAAAAATACAAGGTGCCAAGTCGAGACTACGCGGGATGGCTCATAAGGTCAACGTTGTTCACCTTCAAAAATTCATTTGACTGTCTGGCCGTGTGAGAACTGGCATTATCGTGGTGCAAGATGATCGGCGTTTACGATTATTTTTACGGAGTATATCAATAACTTCTGGCAAACAAATGGTCGTCTACCAATCACTATTCACGGTACAACGATTCTCCAAAGCCACAGTAGCCACGTGTCCAGTTTTATTAAAAAAAAGAAACAATCATCCGCTTAGAGGCACTATGCGTGCATAGTGCCGCTCACTTTGGTTGGTTTCGGCTCATCTCGAAAAATTCATACGCTCGATTGCTGCTTTGTTTTGGGATCGTAACTTTATATCCATGTTTCGTCACCTCTTACTATGTCCCACACCAAATTTGACGCCCCTTCGTTGAATCTGGTAAGCATGGTATTGCACCAAGTGACGCGATCCGTTTTTTAGCCTCAGTCAAATTGTGTGGGATCTACCGAGAGCACAGCTTTTTCATACCCAATAGTTTGTGTAGTATTATAGATTGTATTTGACTCATACCTATGCCTAAAGATGCCCGAACCTCATGGTATGTCACATACCTGTCTGTTTTGATCATACGGCGCACAGCATCGATGTTTTTATTGTTCACAGCAGTGGACGGGCGACCATCACGAAATTCGTCACTGAGATTCACACGTCCGCGTTTGAATTCTGCAAACCAGCTATAAATAGTCGTCTTACATGAGTGCTTTATCGCCAAAAGCAGTTTGAAGCCGAGCGAAGCTCCGCTTTGTTAAATTACACTTAAAGTCATCGAAAATCATACTACGAAAATTTTCACGTGTTAAATCCATGGTGATGTAGACAACCAATTTCTAAAATGATGCATTGTGGCTTCATCATCGTGAAAAACCAGTGACAGTCAGATGAAACAAACTGTACTCTACGGCCAAAGAATTTCATTTTCAAATGTTGTAATTACTTTTTAAATATTGTTTATGTAAGTGGCCAGTTCCGAAAACTTATAGTGCTATGTTCAAATAAAGATTTTATAAGCTTTAATAGCAGTACAGCTCCTTGTGAAAGAGTTCGTCCAGGGAAGTACAGCCACCATACCCATTTCTGCCGCCAAAGCAGTAATGTTAGCATTACTGTATTCCGATTTTGAAGAATAAGGGTGCTGGTGAGATTACACGCACATGAGACTTGTCAACTTATGTTTCAGGGTGTCAGGCGCAGTGGCAGTGTCCCTTAGATTATTGCGATTTAAGGCTGTGAGTGGCATTGCAACTGTCATGAACAGGCGTGTAACCATCAGGCGCACGACTTGTTCATCCCGTTCCTTGATATTATATTAAAAGAAATAATTGAAACAGCTATTTTCTTGCGAATCTAGATAGCTTACTTATTATATTTCTTTCTTCAAACAAACAAGCAACTAAGTCACAGCTTACTGTCAGTTTGAAAAAGCACATTTACGCGCAACGACTAAAATTTGTAGACATCGTTGTTTATATGATTGTTTTCGTAAGGTTTCTATACGAAAACAAACTTTTTGATCAATTTAAAAAAGGAGGAGGTTCTCAATTTGATGAATCCGGTTATTGGATTTCATCCACTCTGCTTTAACCGATTTCAATACATTTTGGCACATGTAAGGAACACAGCAAAAGCGAATAAGCAAACTTTTGAAGAAGTCGGTTAATTTTTTTATAAAAAAGTTATAATTATCAATGTCTAGCAGTCTCTATAAATACATATAGGTATATATGTAATTTATATATTTTTTTACTAGCTTGCACGTTCTTGTGCCACTTGTGCTCTGTTGTCTGTTGTTGTACGATTCCTGTTTTTATTCAGAACAGCCGAATCGCACGTCAAACTGTCGTATTCGAAACCGAACCGAAATGAAGTCACACCCGCACGATTACTGGAACTTCTCGACCGGCAAAGACTACAAATGTTAGTCAGAACGGAGCAGCACGATGGGCCGATACGCTGACGGGGACTCGAGCGGACGCCCTTCCTTCAGGAGGAGGCAAAGGCCTCTTTCCACACCTGGGGAAACTTGCCTGCGACTTTCCCTGGCTCCCCGTCCGGACCGGGGGCCTTTCTTGTGGCCCTGAGCCGGTCCGTTGCCGCCTTTAGTTCCTCCGGTGTGACCGGAGGAACTGTATCGGCCTGTTCCAGCTCCGCAATCGGCGGAGCCATGGAGGGAGGAGAGAAACTCTCATCCCCCTCCAGGAACAGGCCAGCCACCACTTGACCGAGGAGCTCTGTCTCCATTGTCTCGACGGGGGGCGCCCAGTGCTGCAACTTGTGGCGCACCATCTTGTACGGGTGCCCCCAGGAGTCCCCATCCAACGTGGCCAGGAACCCCTGCCGGGCCAGGTCTTGGGCCCGGCTTATGCCGATTCGGAGTTCCTCTTGCGCCGCCCTATAGGCGGCGGCGTAGTGGCTATCCTCCTCCGCGTGTGACGCCTTCTGCGACACCGCTTGTGCGCCCTCCGCGCGGCGTTGCTGGCGGATTGCAAAAACGCGAGCTCGTCCACCAGTAGACCTCTCTCTTGTTGGGAGGCCTGCCGCCGCTACGGGGCATTGCGGCATCGCAGATGGCAGTCAGACTCCTTCTGAACCCGATTGCCATCTAGTTCGAACCCACCTCGGGGGGAAGCGCCTCATACGGCCACCATAGCCGCCTCCGTTGCCCTTTCGGCATCGAATTTGGCGAGGGCCCAATGGGGAAACCCCTCTCGCCCTCGCCCTCGCTCTGCAGGCGCCGGGCGTCGAGGAGGAGACCTTGAACCTTATGTATACGTGGTCCGAAAGGGTCTCCTCCACCTCCAGCACCCGCCAGTCCTGCACTTGTGAGGCTAGGGTGGAGGTCTCAAACGTTATGTCTACGATGGAACCCCCACCTCCTCACGCAGGTGTTGGCAGTGTCGCGGTTGACGACGACCAGGCAGTTGGCCGGCACCCACGCCTGCACCGCTCGCCCCTTGACGTTGGGCAAGCGGCTGCCCCAAGCCGGCGATTTGGCACTGAGATCGCCCTTTACCAAAATATTCGCCGGGGCGAGTCTCCTCACGGCCAAGCTGAACCTCAACAAGAACGGCTGAAATTCGGCCATTGGGCGGTTGATGGAAAAATAAACGCCCACAACCGCTCTTTTACGACGAGAGGGGGAGCCGCCGACGGCGTGACGATGGCCACGACGCTGTCCACGTCCCCAGTCCAGTTGGAATGGCTGGGAACGTAGTACGGGTCCGCGGCTACCGCAACGTCCACTGACCACTGCGCCATGGACTGCATGTACAAGTCCTGTGCTCTGGCGCAGTGGTTCAGGTTCGTCTGGAGGAAATTGAGTTCAAGCCCGTTCATCAATAGACATCTCAACTTCCTCCACTGGCGCAGCCGTAGGTACTGCGGTGGAGGCCTGGCTCCCACGGGCCTCCTTAGCCTCCTTAGCCTTCATTGGGGGAGGGCGACACGCCTTCCCTCCCATTATGCGCGCCGCAGGCCGACCAAGATCGGCGCATGCGGCACTTTGGTTCCGCCTGACATCCAGCCGCCCGGTGACCTGGTTTGCCACACCGGTAGCACAAGTTGCTCCGGTCCGAGCTCACCAGGCAGCGACGCCCTACGTGGCCGATCCCCATGCAGCGGTAGCACCGCATGGGCAACGGCTCAAGCACTCTGACGTGTGCAGTGCTCCACCCCACCCGGAACTTTGTGACGACCACCGCCTTGGCGACGACGATGGGGCTGCGTATAACGACTGCCCCGCGGCCGTCCGCTTCAGTGGCGATCGTGCCCACCCGAACCTGGTCAACGGAGCATGACCCTTTCGCCGCCATGGCTGCACGCACCTCCTCCGCCTCGGCTGAGTCGTCGAGGTCGGAGATGCGCAGCTCCACGCATTTTGTGGCCCGTGCGACCGCGACGTCGTCGCCCAACACTTTTTGGAGCCTGGATGCAAGGCGGTCTGCCTTTTCGTGGCTGGCGGCGCCCGGGACCTCCAGAATGCGGGCCCCGGTGGCGGTCTTCCTAATGCATCTCATAATCAATCTCCAGCTCCTGGAGATCGAACGCTTGACGTGCACGGGAGATCGTCTGAGCATACGTGACTCTCTTTTCTAAGGCCGCCGGCTGCAATGTGAGGATCACAGCCGTTGATCGTGGCCGAGGAGGAGGAATGGCCTTCCTCGGCTTAGGCTGGACCCTCGTCGTCGCGGGCGCGGGCGCTGTCTCCCCCTCTGTCGCCTCCTTCTCTCACGATGCCTTTGAGCAACACCCTTCTAAATGTGGCGTCGGTGGCGGTGCGCCGGCCCCTGTTGGGGAGCGCGGAGTCGCCTTGTGACTGGTCGGCTTTGCTGCCGGCCTCAGTGCAGACACCGAGACCAGCTTCGCCAATGGTCTGGCCGGGGCCGCCCGTCTCTGGCACCCACCTGGACGTGATACTGGCGTGGGAACTGGGGGCCTCAGCAGCTGTGGGGTGCGTGCAGCGCGCGCAGCCTGAGCTGATGCAATAACACGCGCACGAGAGGCCATCGCGTATGTCCGCGATGTTGCTGCCGGAGGGCCGACGGACGGAACCGCTGCCCCCTGTGACTGCGTTAGTGTCGCCCTCTTTCTGTCTGCCAAAGGCGGCCTCGAAATCGGCGCTGGGGGGAGCCTCGTATCGAGGCTCGCAATCCTTGATCTCCCCTATGGAGATGGTCAATGCAAGCTGCGGAGGGGCGGGGGCGCCCGGATAACGCCTTCCGGAGGGCGATGACATGTGCTTTCATAAGGTCTACCTCCTTGTTGAGACGAGCGTTATTGGCCATAATTCTAAATTCCGGGACTTGCTCACTACGGCGAGGATTCTCGTCACCTCCGCCATCGCCTCCGCTCGTTTTACGTCGGCGGCAATGGCCTCTGCCCTAGGTGCCGCCCCGTGCCAACTTTCCGCCTCCGAGTCCTCCCAGTCGAGGTCGGAGAGACCCTTCGTTCCGAAGGCCTCATATGCCTTCACTTGTGCAGCTGTGCATCTCTTCGCCTCGTTTGAGGCGGCTTTCTTCTTTACCGCCACGGCGCACAAAAACACCTCAATTGCCCGCACGTATAGAAAAAACGTATAGAAAGTCTCGGATTTAGTCACCCACCCACTGGCCACTGCGTTACCGCACACCAAGTGGGTCCACAGCAGACGACGAGGACGTACCGAGAATTCACGTGGGGCCAGCCCCGAGCTGACCTATCCTGCGTTAATAAAGTGCGACACAACTTTGTGGTGTTAGGGTCTACTGCGTAGTAAATAAAGTCATGTTTAGACTTGAAATAGCCTAAGGATTAAGTTTCACATTTTACACACAAAATCTATTAATTAAAGATTAAAACACATGATATAAAAAAATGTTTATAATTATGTAGGTACACAAAGCGTTTTAAAAATGTACTTTGTTTTACTAAATATAAATAATAAACCACGATTAAAAATATTCATCCACGTTTTTTAATAAATATCGAGTAAAAATGGATATTTACCCTGAGTATTTATCCCAATGATATTTATCCATGACCCATCTCTATGCAAGACTAATGCATTCCTATATTTTCGGCCTTTAAAATCTTAAAAATATATATAAAAGGATTTTCATTTTTCTTACAATCTATTTCACCGACTAACTCCGTAAACGCTGTTAGATAACGATATCTTATCCTAATACGAATCAAACGTTTAACTCGAACGTTTAATGAATAGCTCGGAAAGCGCTCTTCGATTCGACAACGACATCCAATCGAACGATTCGGTTAAAATATCGAAGAGTTCTGAATCGGGGTCCTGGTCATTCACGGAACCTCAGTATACTCGGAATTAGTATTTAGTACGTGATACCTAACTTATAAACACTTTAAATTATGCATAAGCGTAGGTATGTAATCTGTTGCTAATTTTCTTTGTAATTTCTGACTGCAGAAAGTTAGAATATATGCCTAGTTACTTATTTCTGTTTTTAATTAAGTAAATGCTTAAATAATGTATGTTTTAATAATAATGTTCAGTTTAAATTAAGTTATACCAAGTCGAAGCCCGCCCGCCTAAACACTGTGTACGCTACACCCAATCACCACGCGCGCGAAAAAAGAGCTTTTTGCTTCTACATCCTCTCCCCGTCCAATGGCTCAACGGCGGGAGCAAGCACAGTCGCGCTGCGAACGCCGCGCGGTTATCACGTATTGTTGTGTTGCGAGGTATTTGTACCGCGCGCCAACCAAATGTTTACGCGACTGATGAAGTTTCGCCCCCAGAAAAACTTTTGAGAACCATCCAAATTTGTTTATGTGCTATTACCGTGTTACTCGTGGACCTTAGTTCTCAATATGGGCAGTAAAACTCCTACAAATCCACCATCACCGCCAAGGGCTCAAGTTAAAAAGGAAAACGAAGAAGAAATCAAGGTAAGATTTAATTTCAGATGTTTTCCCGACATTGACGTGAATTTCCGTTGGAAAATCATCATCGTGTTACGGTTTCGTCTTATTGGCAAGGAGCCTGTTTCATCTCGTCTCGTAATAGGAGAAGTAGAATCGTATTTTTAAATTTGATATTGGGCTCAAGTTGATTTGCGAAGGGTGCCTACCGAAGTTTCGAATCGTAGGGTTACGCCGAATAAATTATTTCGTATACAGTTTCAACATTAATTACATTTTGTGATACACAATAAAACGCGTGTAATATCACGTTTTCGAGGCCTTTTCCAGCCATTAAAGTGTGTAACGCGATATCCGAAGCGCGCTCGGATCGCTGTAACCGGAGTCGGTGGATGTTTTGATAATAGATATAGGCGGAGCAGCTGTGTGAGTCTGTGCGGATAGGAGTTCGGCTGCTTGTGTGCGTGCGGGGTAATTTTAGACGTTCCTTTGCTCAAAACGTAACTCGAGATCGTCCCAGGCCACAAGCCGACACGCTTCAATTTATTGTTTTCAACTGATTATCGTGTTTGTGAATGTACTAAATAATGAGGGATCATAATGGTGTATGACCGCGCCGCCTCCACCAATTCGCGTGCTTTTATTTTGGCGCCACCGAAATAGTTTGACATGTCAATAACCTCATTGGTGTTGTCCACACATCTGTGACATCACGGGACACGCGGCGGCGATTTGTTCGCGAAAGTTTGAGGTCGACTTAATTTATTGTATTACGAGTCTAGACGACCCAAATTGCTGAGAGGGCGCTGAATGGTTTTTTATTACAGAAGTTTCACACTTCTATTAAAATAGAAAATGCGCAGAAAATTACAGTGTCGTATTACGCAGACTTGTTTACATTTCAAACATTTGTCAGTACCTTTATTAGTAACTACATTTATCCTAAATATTTTTTTAGGCAGATATCTTTTACATACATCTTGTATTCCCAGTAGCAGTCAATTGAATGCAATGATCCAGATAAGTTGTTCTCGTTGGAAATTTCAACCCGTTATTACGCTGCCATAAATAGCAAAATATACTCCATTTGCAAATAATATATGAATCAAAGAGAACTCGGGCTACAGTGAGCCTTCGCTGTAGGTGATTATAAATAAACGCGGGTGGAGGTAGAACTACTTAAAATTCACGATACACATCTAATTGCACGCCATTTGGAACATACAATATCGATACAAGCATATTACTTTTCAGAAATTGGTGAATTCGTCAGCCATAACTCAAAATTGACGAAATCATGTCCCTGTTTTCGTTCTAAATGCAAATTGCAAATAGCTGTATGCATTGACCAATTTGTCTTTATGTTGAACGACAATCGTCTATGTCATAACTGATACACGGGGAAATTGGTGGAGTAGACGTTTTGCGGGAATAAATTTCGCGGCGTGAGACACGCTAGGAAGGTACATCATACATCAAACTCCAAATTTATTTCGAGAATGAAGGATGACGTTTGTAGAAATGATAGTCATCACAAATGGAACAGGATTACAGTAAAATTCTGAAAGAAATTTTGAACGAATATCAGAAACTATCACTTTTCTCCACAGCTCAAAATAGTGACTGCTTATCCACCCAAAAAAAAAAAAATTAAGATCAAATTAAAAAAAGAAGCCACTGTTTCATTTAAAAACGAAGTATTCAGATTGCAACATAACACCGCTCTAGAAACTTTTCCGCAAATCGCTTACGAAATTGCACATCACAAACATTGCACTTGCAACAAATGTGTATGCGCAGATTATTGGGCCAAGGCCGCAACTCCGTCATACTAACACTGCGTATCACATGGACCTTCTTCGTTGCAATTAAGGATGATGTTACAATGACAAACGATTGTTTTTTTTGGACATTGTCCATGTCTGTACATCGTGTATTTATGTGACAACTGTAAGTATGTAATGTACTTCGTTTGATGTAGTAGCCATTTAATATGAAAGGTCGGCTTGTTACGGTCAAGGCAATATCTTTATGATTCACATCGTTTCATGATCTAAATAAAATGCTATGTAAAGCATTATGTAGATTGTGTTCGATGTGCATTTGCGTAAGACTAGAATAAAAAAATACAATTAGACCTCAATCCAATCGTGCACGTGTACTTGATCTAGTAATTTGTCAGAGAATCGAGAACAAATTTGAAAAATACTCATTGATCGTTAATAATGATAACTGATAATCGTTAATAAATGTTAATGATAAGTTCATCGTATGGTACTGTAGACTAGGCTCTACTCTATGAGTAGAATTGCTGGCTAAATATAGGTAGTGATTATAGTTTTATATTTAGAATGTTAAGGATTGAAATAAGAAAAGAGAAGATCTTGACATATTAGATTATTGATTTGTAACCTGAAAGTGAAAATATGTAAAATGGTGAAATAAACCAAAGTTCTTAAGATGATCCCGGTTTATATTCTTAGAAGAACCTCTCGCAACGCAATCTGAGTTACCCTTGATTACAGTACATCTATTTTTTTATATTATGTAGCAGCAAATAAGCAAACAGAACATTCACCATTGTACAAGCGATAGAATAGGCATAGGGAAGCAAAGTTTCTCCTCCAAGACAGTGGTTCAGTGTCCTCTGTAAGCGCGTCATAGGGCTAAAGCTGGCATCCAGGAGCTGCCGCCCAAAGATGGCAGCAGTATTCTATGTGGGGCGGACTCGTGACTTATAAAATAGCAGTCTCTGTTCCGAAGTGAAATACCGCTTATCCCTGTTGAGCACACCAAGCTATAGAAATTATTCTTCACACTTTAGTAGCTTCTCAAACTAGACAATCAGTCTACTCCGTGATCCAAGAACTGGACACGGTCAGTTACACATTTGGATTTGACGGTGCATTAATCACTGACGTTCAGACGCACAAAGCGTCGAATCGTTGCGTTCACTCATCATTTAGTCGATGGACCCATTTGTTTCTTCGACAATGACTTTTAGTTCAATTGTCGTTTTTTTATTGGTTCATTTCTTCTTTCTTCAATACTAATCCCTGTTCCCTTGCTAACCCATCCTATGTATGGTCAATTTACTGAGAAACGTTAACAAAAAAAAAGAAAGATTCGGGATTGAAGATTACTTAACTAATTGGCTGATTGCGCAGAAAAAAGAAGTCCTTTCACCGATGCCTACGAGTACCTTCAGGTCTTCTGCGGCATTATACTACCGTGTCTAACCTCTGTAGAAATGTCCCTTCAGTTGATGTGCTAAATCGTGGGCGGGACCTAACACTAAAGACGATAATATAATAATTACAGCAATATAAGGTAACGTGGACAAACATGGAAAGTGAACACGGGTGTGATGGCAGCGCTACACGATACCCGGTTGTAACCGACACCGGTGATGCGATGCCTCTGCATTGTACATCTTAGTGACGTAGAGTAACTGCGATCGCAGAAGTGCTTTATGTTGCACCTTTTTATCGAAGGATTCCTTGTGAAAGAGTTTATCCAGGGAAATACTGCTACCTTACAAGCCTATTTTTGCTACCAAGTAGTAATGTGCTGTCAACTACTACTGACGCGTGGGACATAAGTTGACAAGTCCCGTGTGCTTGTAAATTCACCAGCACCCTTACCGTTAAAACCGGAACGCAGTAATGCTCATATTACTTCTTGGCGGCAGAAATAGGTAAGGTGACTTCCCTGGACGAACTCTTTCACAAGAAGCTGTACTGCTACTAATTATAAGTCTCAGGGTGATGGGTGTAGTCTATTCGATTTAAATCCCAGAATGTCACTGCAGCTGTTGTAGGTAGTAGGTGTGTTGACTTACCACGAGGTGCACGGCTTGTTTGTAAAAAAAGAACCTCGAAGCCAGAGATTTCAATTGATTAACAAATATCCAAACTTGTTCAGTTGTTAGCTTGAGCAATTGCTGCGTAACAAATGAACAAGTTAGGGAACAATATTTTGTTATGTTTATTAATTGTCAAGATCTTTCAACATCATGATATTCAATTTTTTTTTTGTGAAATTACTCCACTAGTTTGTTATAATTATTAATACGAAGATCAAGCACTTCCTAAAAAATCCTTCGATGCGGCTGGATTCAAACCAGAGCGTCTTCTAGCAAACCTTTCTAGGCGCTACGCCAAATAAGCCACGGAACGAACCAGCGAACCTTAAGAATTTTTCTATGTGCTTGTTACATCTTTATTTTCGTGTTTAACGACTTTTTTTTTGCGGTAACGCCATTTGTGAGCAATCTATTTCTTCACTGAGCCTTATTAAGAGAACTTATTAAGTTAAACTTTATTCAGCTAACTTGGGTTAACATACGAAGCGATTTATTAATGTTTCATTCGTAATAAAATGCAATGCAGAGTTTTTTTTTTCATAACCGAGACGTTTTTTGCCTTGCTGGGCAAGGAGATCGTTTGAACAGATCTAGACAATTTCTTCAAACAATTGATAGACAAGAAAATGTATCTGAATACTTGCGACCTTCGGTTCAAATGTTTCTTTGCTTTTTGTGCAGTTAACTGCAATAGGAAACGTAAAAAACGTTAATAAAGTCTGTATTGCATAACTGAATTATTAAAACAAGAACTGATAAATCTTTCATATATTTCTCATAGATGGCGCTGCGACTAAAAAGTCGTTGAAAAATCAAATACAAAGACACGACGAAAGCACATAGAAAAATTCGTGAGGTTCGCTGGTTCGTTCCGTTGCTTAGTTGGTATAGCGTCTGACACGGTAAGCTAGAAGACGTCGGTTCGAATCCGGCCGGATCGAAGGAATTTTTTCTGAGTGTACGATCTTTGTATTAATAATTATAACAAACTAGTGGAGTAATTTTACAAAAAATAATTGAATATCAATTCAATAAAAATTTAAGAACTTATAGCTCTGCAAATTGTACACTCTTTGTGAGAGGGGGTGAACAAACACCACCTCACCAGCACGGGAGGCGTGCGTGAGAGTATCGAGTATCTAGTGTCCACCAGAGTATTCTA